CAGTTATGGCTTATGATTACCCAACCCAAAAGATTTCTGTTTATGTATCGGATGACGGAGGTTCACAGCTTACTTTGTTTGCTTTCTTGGAGGGTGCAAAATTTGGTAGACATTGGTTACCTTTCTGCAGGGAAAATAGCATCATGGAGAGGTGCCCGGATGCTTACTTCAGCTCTAACTATTCAGCAAACTCTAAAACTCAACATATCAAGGTAACTTACATCTTAATTACTGCACACGGGTCTTCAGCTCTCAAGTAGTTTGTATTTGCAAAATTTCCCTTCTTTTGAACTCGAAGTGGTTTTGATTCTGTCATGTTCGGATTCTAGTAACTTTTGGTGTGAATTCACACAACTTTGGTATAATCATAAATTAGTTGTATGAGTTTGACAAAATTTTTTATGTTTTTCGTGACTATTGGTTTGAATTCATACAACTTTGGTAGAATATATATGTATATCAAAGTCATACTATTTTACACTAAATATTGTGATAATTACATAATTGGACCAAACTGGACAAAAGTTCAGGCCCGAATCCTATACAATGATGCTTGCTCATGCAATATTTTCTGAAAGCATTGGTAATATCATGAGCATAAACTCATTTTTTTTTTAAAAAAAAAAATGGAACAAGTTATGAAAAATCATCAGAGCTGGGGCTCTAGTTCTATTGTATCCTTCTGTTCTAGTACGAATAAGGATTTCATAAGCAAGTAGAAGGTTAAAGATTTTGATGCGGTTCAGTCTCCAGATATCTTGGCAACAGGGGGATGATCATGTCATGTGACCCCACATTATCACATTTGTATGTATCCCGAGGTATTTGTTCCATTTGGTTCAAGTTTCATGCTGCTATCAACCTTTTTTTGTCACCAATTATATCAACTCTGTAGGTTGTTGATAAAGAATATTCTGTGGTATTATTAGCTACAGTCAAATGCATGCTTAGCTTAGTGATGTGGAAATTAATGATTGTACGTACCACTATACTTTAACAGAAGTTAAGAATGTGTAAGGCAGCAGGGTCTGGATAATGCTAAGCAACTCTAGCGTCAGCTTTGTTGTTTGTCAATAATGTCACGCTTGACCAAGTCCTGCCATTTCATTTGATCATAATAATAATAATAATAATACCGTCATGAAAGCTGAGAAGTGCCAAATAAATTATTGCATTCCCGGAAAGCTGAGAAGTAGTCAAGGTCAGAGTAAGCTGTGGTCATTATACGCTGGTTTTAGATTTTAGAAAAAGGAGGTCGTGGCAAGCTGCCTTGGACCGTCCTACCTATTAATTACTAATTAGTGATGTGATCCAACCCTCCATCTAAACCTGGCCCTTCGCTGATGAGCAGTCGTTGGAGGTGACAGCACAAAGCGGGCATTAATGGTTCCTCAACGGTTCCCGACCTTGATTGGATGAGAATAATTTGTGTGGCTCAGAAAATTACAAGAAGATGTGCATCAATTTTGTGAATACACTCACAAAAAATAAATAAATAAATGCATTTATATTTTGTGAAGTAGTACTAGTAGTTTAATTGAGATACTTCTGTGCCATGCATGTTTCTAATGGGTGGCGTCCCTCCCAGATGATGTATGAGAAGATGAAGATGAGGGTAGAAAGTGCGGTGGCGAAAGGTGAGATAGCGGATGAGTACATCACCAGCGAGCAAGAGCGCACGGCTTTTAGTAAATGGACTCCAGGATTCACTCGACAACAACATCCTTCTGTGGTTCAGGTTACTCATTATTAGTAGTCGTAGTAGTACATTATGCATTTCATTCCACATTCAATTCATACGTACGTTTAATTTTTTTTTTTTCGGCCACATTCATACTTGTGCAGGTCTTACTGGACAGTCGTCAGGACAGAGACATAACTGGAGATTCGATGCCAAATCTCATCTACCTTTCCCGAGAGAAAAGCAAGACATCCCCGCATCATTTTAAGGGTGGTGCCCTCAATGCCTTGGTACGTAAGTCGGGCAATTTTTCATAGCTGTGCCATTTGCAATTTTGCATCCTTCTTCCAACTGCTTTACAATCAACTAGCTTAACTCCGCGTCCACCCTCCCTCACCCCTCACCTCACATCCTCATTGGCTCTTGTCTCAATCCTAGTAGGATCACTAACACTTGTCAAATTATTATGGTTAGATCACTAGAACGCTGTAAATATATATATATATATATATATATATATATATATTAAAAAAAAGGATAACTTTTTTATACTCTGTTTGTGCGTATGCAATTTTTTTTTACACTAGCAGGCAGGTTTGGATCATGGTACATGATATGAATTCAAATTTGAAATTCAAATCATGCACATGCGTCATACATCCACAGCTACTGGCGAAAAAAAAAAAAATCACTGCCATATATATAGGTAGGTGTATAAAAAATTAATTCTAAAATGAAAGATGTTATGCTAATTTGAAATTCGACGTCTTATATTTCGTGAATTTAGATTAATCATATTTATTTTCAAAGTTCTTAGTCAAGATTTTAAATAAATTTCGGAGCGACTTAAACCTTTATACTATGAGCTTATTATATAATCCTAAAAATTACAGTCGAAGAAAGAATATATTTATTTTTGACTAATACCACTGCATTTTCACATCTGTTTGCATGTGTTCGGGAAATATAAGCCTGCAAATGAATAAGACGTTAATTTTACGCATCCATTGCTCCTGATTCCACGATCCTATTACTTTTAAAACAATCCCGATTTTAAATATAACGTTAGTATATAACCTAACCTAACCTAACCGACTCTTTTTATTCGTCTCTCTTTCCAAAGCTTCGTGTATCGGCAGTTTTGACCAACGCACCTGTAATTCTCACACTGGACTGCGACATGTTCTCCAACGATCCACACACAGTCCAACGGGTTCTATGTCTCTTCATGGACCATTCAGTTCGGCCCAACCTCGGCTACATACAGTTGCCACAGGTATTTAACGGGCTGAACAAGGCTGACATCTATGGTTGTGAGTTCAAGCCACTATTTCAAATGAATCCTCGCGGCATGGATGGGCAGAAAGGCCCAAACTACTATGGCACTGGATGCTTTTTCGTTCGACGGGCTTTCTTTGGCGGACCATCATCAAGTGTTCAGCCAGAGATCCCAGAACTGAGTCCAGACCAAGGTGTCAAGGAGCCCATTACGTCTGAAAAAATTTTAAAGCTTGCCAACCTGGTAGCTGGCTGCAACTACGAGAACCACACCAACTGGGGCTCTAAGGTATGCAATGTCGAGTGAGAGGCCTTTCTGGCCGATTTTGTCGGGCTCGATCTAATTGTCGTAAATTAGTTGTGTAAGTTGACAAAATTTACGTTTGCACTAAAGTTAAATCATTTTATACCAAATGTGGTAAGAAAACCACACAATTGGACAAAAGTTCAACTGGAGAGGCCCAAATCCCTGAATCTCATTGTAGTCGTATAATTGGGTTGTATACAGTTGCATTAAATAGACAGTTTAAACGCGTAAAATCACGGGAAAAAAATTTTAAAAGAAAAAGTTCAGAATAAGGCAACCAAGTTTTTTTTTTTTTTTTTTTTTCTATACTCGTGATACTTTGCTTGCTGTTTCTTTGGTGGTAAAAGAACTTCACAATTTGATGTGCAGATAGGATTCAAATACGGTTCTTTGGTGGAGGACTACTACACTGGTTATAGGCTTGTTTGCGAGGGATGGCAGTCAGCATTTTGCGATCCTGAGAGGCCAGCCTTTCTTGGGGACATACCCATCTCCCTAAATGATGCCTTGAGCCAAACCAAGCGATGGTCCGTAGGACTACTGGAGGTGGCTTTCTCCAAGTATAGCCCAATAACATTTGGGGTCCAGGCAGTTGGGTTTCTGGAGGCTCATTGTTTCGGCCATTATGCTTTCTGGCCTGTTTGGTCCGTTCCCGTCGCCATCTATGCCTTCCTTCCCCAGCTCACTCTCCTCAACAATATGCCCATCTTTCCCAAGGTAATAAAGCTTTTAATGGGCTTATTCTCATATCCTAAATTTTTTGTATCTAGCTACCAATATTCCTTCAATCCTATTTTTGCAGGACACAAAATATAAGAAAGTGAAGAAAAGTGCAAGAAAATTTTAAATTTTCTGCCAACCGAACATATACATGAATTGGAAAAAAACCGACTTTCCTTCAATTTCTCACACTTTTCTTTGCAAACAAACACTACCTTACTGTTTTGCATTGACATGAAAGTACAAATGACAAGGATGGTACTTGTGCTCGTGATAATAGCCAGAAATTACGTTCATGATTTGCCTGTTTGTAGTTAACGCTTCTTATATAGTATAGCATCACTTGAAAATTGAATTCCCAATTCAATCATTAATTATCTCTTTTTTGATCAATGTTGCAGGTATCTGATCCATGGTTTTACCTGTACGCCTTTTTATTTCTCGGGGCATACATACAAGAGTGCCTCGATTTCATTTTAGCCAAAAGCACATTCGAGAGGTGGTGGAACGAACAAAGAATGTGGCTCATCAGAGGCCTAACATCATACCTGTTTGGAACCATTGAATTCTTCTCCAAACTTGTAGGCATTCCAACGCAGGGTTTCAATGTCACAAGTAAAGTAGTTGATGATGAGCAAGGCAAAAGATATGGTCAGGGGATATTCGAATTTGGGGTTCCGTCACCAATGTTTCTGCTGTTATCAGTGGCTACAATTATCAATTTGATCGCCTTTCTTGGCGGTTTCCTGGAGGTGCTGAGGGGAGGAAACTTGGATGGTTTGTTTGTCCAGTTGTTTATTGCTGGTTTCGCGGTATTGAATTCCTTGCCACTTTACGAGGCCATGGTCCTCAGAGCTGATAAAGGCAAAATGCCTACCAAAACCACCATCATTTCGGCTTTTATTGCTTTGGGTCTTTGTGTTATGAGTTCTTTCATGCTCCAGACCTAGTAAGGGATATTTTTCCTTTGTTGCTAATGTATCCGGGATTAGAAAGATCTAAATGAATACTTGTAGAATATCCTGATATAGCTTTAAATTACTTTACTTCTCCATGGACAACTCTCTGATTCATGGTGGAAGCTACGTTCTTTAAAGAAAAAGGAATACCTCCGCAATTAGAACAACTGGACACTGAGGCTTTCCTGACAAGGTTTACAGTCAATTACGTGTATAAGTGGAAAAGGAGGGAAAATAAACTACAGTTTACATTCCATGACATCCGGTATCTGAACTTAGCTTGTGCCCAGGTCAGAATTTCAACACTCCGATTCAATATGATAAAGAGGGGAGCCCTTTTTGCCCTCTTAGATCATAACAAATCCAAATTTAGCTTATTGGCAATTGAATAAGGGAGTGAGGGCAAATCAGTGCTACGAATTCTTCTGAGGCTGCACCTTTTAGCAGCTCCACAATTCTGTGAGACAATTTGTCTTCCCACTTTATCCTTGTTCAAGCTGTTGATTCATCAAGCAATCCTGGTTTGTTGTTTCGAGTCATGTGTGGTGATAAATTACCATTTCTCCACATTCTGTACAAAAGGTGCAAGAACAGAGTTCTAGATTACGTGTTCGAACCTTGAATCCTGATAATGACTGATTCTGCATGTAAATTAGTTTGTTCGTTGTCAATGCAAACAGAATCACTAGATCCTGATGATCCTTCCTTTGGAACTATACGATGTTCTCCTGTAAAATCTTCAACATCTGTCACAACTATACTTAGTTGCTCTTGCTGTTCTGCATAGAAGACTCGCGGACTCTGGTTGGAGTTCTGAGCATCTGGAGTGGGTAGGTTATTTCCAGATGCAGGTGGCTCAGGGTTGCTATTTTTGGTTGAAATAACAACAGAGCATCTGCAAAGTGGACAAGTTGAGTTTGAATGGAGCCAATGACGTATACATTCAGTATGAAAAACATGTTTGCACGATGGGAGCTGGTGCAGTTCCTCTTTGACCTCAAATTCACCAAGGCAAACACAGCACCTGTAAAGTTTATGCGTGAATATCATCATTTTCAGTTCAATGCAGAGAACATTCTCTTTCAGCTGGATCCCATGGCCCAGTGGTTACTGCCTACTGCATGAAATGTTTCCCCAGAACTTATCTATCCAATTTGCATATACGTACACATTTGTGCTTTAAAGTATCGCACCAAATTAATCACTTCAGGTACTAGTTTTCCATCTCTCTTTTTACGGGTGAAAGGTTTTTCCATGCCAACTTTTGCCATTTTCTTGAAATTTGAATGACACGTTTGCACTAATTAATTCAGTACAGATAACAACAGCGAACTGTCCAGAATTGAGTTCATTAGGAGTACAGTTCACTGGGATTCATTTTAATCTGCTGCTATTAAAGTAGAGAGATTGAAGAATTCGATATTCCAAATTACAGGTGGAGCTGTTTCTTAGGCTATTATAACTAGGAAGAATGAAATCACTCCAGAGACAGAAGACTGGTTCAGATTTCCTGCACTAAATCTGTGAGAACTATATATAATATCAATTTACTATCTTCGAAGTGTATTTACGTGTACCATTTTCACAGAGCCCTGATTTCATCGATGCAGCGAACTTGAAATTCATTTTGAGCAAAATTTAACACGTAAAGGATTGAGCCCACCAAGATCGCCTTCTGCATACTGAGATAAACTACAAAACTTTAAGAGAGGAAATTTGAATTCTTACAGCGTCTCCTTGGCCTTTGAATGTTCATCAAATAGTATTACCGGGAGCTTTTCCTTGAGGATCTCCACATCTGTCCCCTGTTACAGAAAAAGAAGATTGATTAGAAACACAGATTACAAGATTGATGAAAGTAACTCATGTCTATCAATCACTGTACATGTATTCCTTGGCAACAAGTATAGAAGCTTGAAGTAAATCTTTCTGCAGGAGACATCACTAGAACTTTATGGAACTAAACAAGTTGGTATTCAACCATAATGTCTGTCTTGTTTTTTCAGCTACTCTTAACTGGCAAATTTGTGTATTGCAGTAGGAATATAGAACTACTACTTAAGTGGACTAGGGTCATCTAAGTTGGTTTTATTTTGTTTTTCTTCTCTTGGTCATGGATCACCGTGTGTGTATCGGAGAGGAGAGTTCTTACCGATGAATGAACAAGGGCCGCTTGATTTGAGCTTTCCGGAAGGTTTGCTGAAGGTGAAGAAATAGTGGAAACTCTCTTCTTGAGATAGAACAAGTAAAACAGGAGAAACAGAATGATGGAAAAGAGTATTGGGATTGAGAATATAAACGCCTGGTACAGTTTAAGCTGAAGTTCTTGGGAATAAAAGTGAGAAGGGCTCGGAGATTGAGGATCGAACCCCATGAATATTTATAAAAGGTCTAAGATTTCGTGATGGTTTTATTAAGTGAGGTTAAAAAGAATGAGATCAGAAGGCTGTTAGACAGGAGGTATATATGGTAGTTACATACATTGTCGGCCTAAAAGGACTTAACAGTATTAAAGTGATGAGCAAAACGTGGGAAATTCTTCTCGCTTTTCAGTTAATGCGACAAGCTCGAAACTTTGCCACGGCAAAAGATCCCTCTCTTGTCTTCATCTTTTCTGGATTCAGGTGGAAACCAAAAGGAGGGAGAGTTGAGGAGTGGGATGATCAGCAGGTGTTGTACTTGTACGGGAGATTAAAGATAAGATTGTGATGATTCTCTACCTTGTTACGTTAATTTACACATTTGGAAAGAATAGTGATCCATCTTTTGTTATTCGCGGAAACAGATTAAGGAAGGGTAGGATTTTATCCTCTTCGGCTGTTTTTTGCCTTGATTTTTTGGAAAACAGAACTTGGTCTTGTCCTATTTGGATCGGTCTCCTATCATGACTAGTTTCCAGGAGGAAATGAAGCAAGTTTGTGCAAAATCTTCTGCTGTTGCATGATTGATTAACCTCTATCTAATTCCTCAAAGGTCAAGTATGTAAAGTAGCCACCTGGTCCAAAACTCCGGAACGTGACTAACCATCCAGTCAAGATGGTCATTTGTAAGAAGATCAAGATCAATTAATTGCGCTCATTTGTTACCGAACACTTCAGTTGGGGTTGCAAAAATACTGGATAAGGGTTTTATGTCCCTGGATCAGGGAAACAAACTTCTGCAACGCTTGATGAAGCATTATTCTGTAATAGAGTCCTTTTTTACCTTCCATTTTGGCCAAAGATTTGAACTATTCTTGATTAATTGCTGCACACATCGCTGTGTACTTTATGCCTCCCCACAATCAGCGTCTGCCTTTTCACTTGCCTTCCTATTTTATGCAAAATTAATGCACCTTTTTACCAACAAAGCCAAAGATAGAGCCCAGCATTACGCCTACTGGTCGACTGTGGCAAGGCCAAGGGCAAATCAGTGTCCACTATTTTTGGTGTACAAAATAGTGAGAGCGTTACAACTCACAACTTCTCTACGATAAATATTAGGATTCATCGGTTAGGATCAATACGGCACTTAATTCCACAGTTGAATGTCAAGCAGAGGAACGAACTTACTTAAAAATGATGAGGAAAAACATAAGCAAGAAAGAAAGCAAACAAGAAGTGATGGAGTGATCTCAGGATCCATGATCATAGGTGAGGCGATTAAACTTTTTGGCATTAAGATAGCCTAATTTACAGTAGAAAAGAAGAAAGCAATGTGAAGGCATAAAATATGGATTGGTAAGATTTAACTTAGTTGGCCACTCAACAAAATCTGGATTAGTAGCGTGTAAATTAACACGATTGGTAAAATATCTTGCTGTTCAAGATTATGCAGCCTGAATCTACTTTTTATAAAGTGATACATCCTCCCTTTCTTGCTTATTCTATACTATTACTATCTTGAGATCACTTTTCATTTTGATATTGAAACCTTTGTAGATGCTGCTTCATGTGGGCATTTTCAGGGGATAAAGATCAACTGTTGCTTATGGGGGTGATGAAGAGCCTCCTCTCACTGCTTTTTCTCTGAAAAGTGAAAAGTGGGGCTATGTACATATCTCAAACTGCACCACCACCACCAGTGAGACTAGATTCTCTGGACATGGCGGCAATCAGCAATTGGCAATTTGGCACAAGCATCAACGTCAGTATCATCGTTGATCTCTCTCTTATACTATTTTTTTCTAACAAACATTAAATGGAAGAAATCTAAACCTGATCCTCAATCCAATCCAAAAGGCAATTGCTGACTTCTGGGTTCGACCAAAGGACTTAAATCTCACTCACTCAATCCTCACTGGACCGATGTGGGAGAAAGGGGAAAGGGAAACACTCGCACTCTTGGTTTTACCCTCAGCATTGGCTATTACCCTCTCCATTCTTTTTCTTTTTATACTAGCTAGTTATTTGAGGAAGTATGCTGTAAGTGACTGAGGGGTCGTAATGAAAGTCGTAGGCCTGAGATTCCAAAGGTTCCATATAAAAACATGTTGATATTATTGTAATCTGGAAGTGTATGTGCTACAGACACAACAACATTGGCAAAAGCAGCCATTGGAAAATCTTTTGATGGTTGAATTCCCGCAGGTGATGAATAATTGATTAATGATTAGTGCATTGTGAATTTTATCACAGTTCTGAATAAATCCTAGTCCTCTAAAGTCGATTTTTCTACCATTTAGGTTGACATTCTATTATTCCCCAAGATAGACCGCACCACCTCTCACGGCTCAACCACCTCTAAAAGGCCCCAAAAAAAAAAAAAAGGCATTCCAGGATAAATTTTTAAAGTGGCCGAAATTAGCAATTCAGCTTTATCAAAACATCTAGTAGGGGAACAAAGATATGGTAGCTTACTGCACCGGTCTGGCTTAGGTCAACTTATAATCATGCATCTTCGCAGTAAAGCATGAAAATTGTCGCACCAACCAACGAGCTTAAGGTCTGATTTACGCACAATCCAGCATCCAAACCCTCCAATCAATTATCATCAACTGGAGAAAGTTGACGATACAGAACTAAAGAAAGGGGCTGGCCTAACGAATCTCTGTGTCAGGAGATGCTTCGTCCAAGGACAATCCAAGCAAAGTGGGCTGGAACTTGCAATTGGCAAGAAAAAGGTTTTGAACGCGGAAGATTACCTTTACTTCCATTTAAACAAAGATGCACTCGCCACAAATTCCGTTATACTATTTGTGAATACTGAATGGGTTGCAGGAGGTAATATGAAGTTTGCCACTTTGCTTATTCAATGTATCCCGTGCGTGTAAGAGCGAGTAAGAAAACTTGGCATGCCTCGTCATGTAAAAACTGGCACATACAGCAAAACTGGAGACAGCATTGAATGCCCCAGGCAGATGTGTTTAAAAGATTAGGCATTGTAACAAGCCAAATCAACTTACAGATCAGTGCAGTTAGATGTACAAGAATCTCAGGCTCCACTGTAAATACAAGCAAATGAGTAGTGCTTTTCCCAGTAGACTGATTGTGTCGTATTAAATTCAATTCTAAGTAAAAATGGCAAGCAAAATACACCAGTTCTCAAGCTCAGGAAATGTTTGTCTACTCCAACCTGCCCTCCTTTCTCAACCAGATAAACGAACCAAACTAACTTATATCAGTACTTCCTTTTCCTAACTTTGAAGCTCATTGACCGAATAACATCGTCATCTGCCTTCATTGTTGACTCGAGAACTTCCATGGACTCAGGTTTAGTGAAGTAGGTAAAGAGAAGGTAAATTCCATCCAAGTAAGTGTTCGTCTCTCCTGCTTTGTTTTTCTTTCTGATGCTGTAAGCAAGTGGAATGACCCCTCGATTGAACACTTCTACATACATACCACCACCAGCAACAAGCAACTGTAGGAAAGACACATTAAACACACCACTTAAAACAACTTTTTTCAAGCAAAGACAGCTCATAAGTGAATTTGACATCCAAATAATTTCAATATGTGACCGCCTTCCTCAACAAGCCCTTGAGCCTCCTTTGCTATTATATCAAGGATAGTAGGTCTCAGTTAATCGTAGGAAAAGTTGGTTTGCTCATGAAGATGGTTAGTTAATGATTGTATTGCTCATTGAAACTCGTGGTGTAAATTAATTGACAAACCAACATGCTTGAAGTTATACTTGTTAGCTTATGAGAATTAAACCTTTTACAGTAATTTGAACATCTGATGCTGCTTTTGGTATTTCACATCACCTGCGTTTTGGTTTCAACTTTCAAAAGGAGAGCAAAGTTGTAGAGCATTACCCAAGAAACATATGTGCATTAGCAGTGGACATCAGAAAGATGGGAAACTGTTGCACATATACTCGCAGCGGTTAAGATTAGTTTACAGCCTCCCAACATACATTTGGGAGATCAAAGTGAATGTAAACATCGAATTATGTATAATTGGTCGAAGGACAAGGACAGCATAAGTAAGCTGAAGAAAGCAAGCAGGTGGTGCATTAAGTAAGTAAACAAATTGCAAGAGTGATACCACCATCTCTTTTTTAAAAAAAAAAACTTTGGGTAGCAGACTGAAATACTTTTGAAAAATCTGCTGAGATACCACGCTTTAGTGGGAAATCTACGTGGGTCATAGGAAGTTATAATGGAATATCATCAGACAACAAGTAACCTGCTGCACCTTGACAGATGGTATTCCAACATTATTCACAAACTTTGACATGACAAAACTCGCTTCTTCAGCACTGGTGTCCTTTACACCATCCACACTGTAAGCTGTATCCTAGAAGAAAATAGAAACAAAATTTCCCCAATTTGAAAACCAAATTTTTCTCTAAACACCTAGAAAAAAAATAAAAAGAAATAGCCCTTCCGAAGAATCATGAACACAATTTTAATAGTAATTGAAAAACTGATTTTGAAAACTCAGCGATCCAAACAGAGCTGTAGTTATAGAAGTTGAAATATATCGGACGCATTACAAGAAGCCCAGCTGTCCTAAAATTGTAGCTGTAGAAGTTGAAAAATATGCTAACTTTATCACCATTAATCAAACCAATAACGCACAAAGACAACTGTTTTAAGAAAAACAAAAGGCCACTAAAACATGCATATTGACCATCACAATTTTCAGCAGATAAAAATAGAAGTTAATTCGAATAAACCCAAAAAAAAAAAAAGAAAAGTACCTCCTCATACTTCTGGGTAAGAGTGAGGCGCTCATCTTCAGACATGTCGGGTCTCAACACCGCCATGGTCTCATATTGTCGAAGCCCAGGTGGGCACTGGGGCTCTTCTTTATCCTCAACGGCAGCGATGCCGGAGCCGGGTGAAATTGGGGGGTCATCATCGGCACCCAAGCCACCTTCAAAAAATGAACCCGAGAAGTCCAAAGTCTGAGCCTTTACTGATAAAACTGGAATTTTGGTTAGCGGGTGGAGGGGTTTATGGAATTTAGGAAATGGTGAGTTTAGTGAGCGAGTGAAGGAGAGGACTGTGGGGGAGGGGGAGTTGAGTGAAGGTGAGGAAATTAAAGAAGATGAAAGCATTGTTGTTGGGATTGAAGGGACTTTAGTTCTGGGTACTGGGCATTCACATTCTTTGTTGGATTGGAGGGACTGGAGATGGGAAGTTTTGCAGTGACAGGATAAGGGGACAATTTACTGATTTTCCTGGGACACTTCACCTACGGCGTCGTTTGGAACGCAAACATGTAGTAGTGGCAGTGGTGTCTTGTTCCAGGTACCCATTACACGAACTTATCATCTAATTTGACCATTGTCTCATTGTGAGGAAGCTGGAATTGTTGTCAGCATTTGTTAGGATAGTAAATTATTTGTTAAATTTTATTTTTTTACATCATTAATATATTTATTAATCACTTTTTTATTTCATATACATCGTATTAAAAAAAAGCATTACATATCTTTTTTAAAAAAAATTATTTCAAATAATCTATTATCCAAACACTTCTAATAATGATGAGTGAGTGCATAAGCTGCTGGTATACTTTCACAATATGAAATGTTGTCTTCATTTGTCATTCATGTAGGCTTTTATTATGTTGGTTCAAGCGGGATGAGCTTGCATCCCTTAACCATGAGTTCTGGAATTTGAATTTCATGAGATTGAAAAATATAATGTTGAGAGAATTTTTCCTCGTAAGAGATTCGACGTGATTCGAATAGGATTGATCGCAGCAGATTGTAAAATGGACATGAATACCTATGAATTCTACCCAAAAAAAAAATGCAGGCCTTTACGTATTTGCTGCATCTTTACACGTTTGTTTGTACTTTAAAATTATGTGACTTTCTTTCTATCTATGCCCACAATTTGAATTTTGGTGTGGTGGAGTTCGCTGTATTGGGCCATTTACCTTTGGGATGGTTGTCACCTGTCAGGCCTGCCTTTGTTCCACTGGACTGGATCCAACATCTCAAGTCCTGTGTAGGTTGAAACCGAGCTACTGTGTTCTTCAAATACATTTTTTGTCATGAGATGCGAGATAAAATATTAATTAAAAAATTATGAATGTGATGGAAAGACATGTTTATAGAATTTTTGAGAAATTTCTTTTGGCAAACAATCTCTATTTTTAACTATACCATCAAAAGTATTGCAATTCTTCAATTTTGAATTTATTTTACTTATATTCATATCTCACTTAATCCAGTCATCCATTTCTCTATTTTAGGTAGCATGCCTAATTGAAGAGAACTGTTGTTTGAATATTTGAATTTTAACTATTTATTTAATCAAAATTTTAAATTATTTTCTCACACTTATAACAAATTCTATCATTTTTAAAGAATTTGAATTTCTTTTTATTATGAATTTTCTCTCTCCTTAACAAATTTTATCTTGCTTTTAATAAATATAAATTATATTTTATTCATATGGAGTGATTTTATAATGGATTTAAATTGTCGCATCGTAAATTCATTAATGGTGCCAGAAACAATATATCCGCTTTATGACAAAATAGAATATATTAATTTTCTATTTGAAAGTAAGAATAAAAAAAAAAAAAAAGGCAATTGCCTTGCATTAGCCTCTTGAGATATGGAAGGATCCCAAGAGTAGTACAATGTGCTATCGGACCATGACGTTTTGCAGAGACTACAGAGTCCTTGGATGCTGTTTGATTTCTTTTTGGACCCCCGCAGTAACCGAACCCTGAGCCTCGAATGGTTTAGGCCATCACGTTAGCCCACCCTAATCAAATTCGAGCCCAATTTGTACTCCAAATTTGTAACATTGTAAACGAATCAAAATGGAATAGAACTTTTAAACTCTCCGCCTCGGTTGAATTTTTGGGTTCGAATTCAAATTTGATCTCGAAATTCTATACAAAAATAAATTTTAAAATCGAGTTCAATTCAATTTAACATTTGATAGGTTTCAAGTTCGATTCGAAAACTTAAATTTTTACCCTTTAGTACTATTTTATCAACAATTCCTATGTAGAACCTACATAATAATATATAATAAATGGAAAGTTATACATAAAATGCTAATAATACTCTTAAATAAAAAATATAAAAAACTTATTCGAAACCTTTTATGAGTCGAGTATGTATGAATTCATGCGTGTTCAATTCGAAACCTCGATGAAATCCTAATCTCGTTCAAATTTGAGTTCAAGCTTGTCAAGATTCAAACTCGAATTGAGCTCAAGTTGTTTCAGTTAAAGGCTTGAGCCATCTACACTACAACCCTACTTTAGGAATTAAACCAAGTTTTGTTACTAGTTGATAGTTGCTAAATGGACTAGTTATCTTTACTTCAGAGATAAAATTTGCTTTCCAACAATCTATTAATGAAACTTGCCTTTTTATTTGGGAAAAAATTAGTCGATTAGGGGCAAGTCTAATCTCACTCTGAATCGGAATTTATTGTTTAGCCCATGGACAAGTCTGATTTTGATTATGAATTTTGAGGCAATTCTCTTGCCTATGCATACAGTGGAGGAGGGGAGGGGTAATGGCTGTAGTAGTGATGGTGGGTAGTGATGAAAATTTAACAAAATTTTAAAAATATCCTAATAAAATTTTAAATTTTAAAACTACTCTAAAAAATTTTCAAAAACACTACCATCTACTGTGGAAAGTTTTTTGAAATATAATAGTGTGAAATTTTTCAAAGGCAGCCCCCAAAAATGCCCAAATTCATACGGACCATTTGTTTATTCACCTTGTTGATAAGACCAGCCCAATACACCAAAAGCACCTGCCCTGCTGGTTTAGACTTAATGCATTCATGCTAGATAGAAAGACGAAACCGGAAAAGTCCGAGCCCGAACCAAAACCTCTTAGTATTAGTTTGCTTGTCAACGAAGAATAGAACAAGCTACAAAGCCAACAGAACACAGAGGGGTTTTCGTTTTGTTTTTTTTTTTTGAAAGAAAGAAGAAAGAGAGGAAAGGCTGGTTCTAATATTGGCAATGGATCCTAAATTTATTGAGGTTTCACAGCTGTTTGATCGATTCAAAGCTGCCTTCGTCCGCAACGATTTGGATACCTGTGCTAATCTTCTCTCTCAGCTCAAGGTAAGCCTCCACCCTACTCCCAAACTTCCTATTCTCAATTCTATTGATTTTGTGTGATTTTTTTACTTCGCCCCTCGAAACCCTAGCTAATATTCCCTTCTGCTAGATTTCTTTCCTCTTTTTTTTTTTTATATGTTTTTCAGTTCAATATGGGGAAACTATTAGGTTGTACAAGAAGAATCTTTGCAAGCAATTGCAAATCTGGAGTAGCGTTTTTGTTGTAAAGGGATTACGAATAAGATGCTTTTAGAACTTAATACTAGTATGCGAAACTCAGATCTGGGTGCCATGATGAATTACTGCCGAGTTGGGAATGAGTCGGCTCAAAATTGTAATTTCCTGAATTAGACATTTAAATATCCTATTGAGAAATTATACTAAATATCTAAAACAAAATATTGCCTTTGGAAGAATGAGAGGCTTAGGAACATCGTTTCTTGAAAATAACGTACATGTTGGTGGGAACACTAGAATCTAAGTAAATTGGTTTTGCTGGGGTGTTTGCTCAATGGCAGACCTTGGTAATCTCGTTTCCTTCATCATAGAACCACTAGTACTATAACCATGATGCCTGAATATGGTGTTCACTTCATTATAGTATCTCAAACTGTTTCTAACATTTCTTTTTTCTCTTTTCTTTTTAATAAATGCACTTGTAAATTGCACATTTTGTTCACATTGCTTGATCATTAAATGTTTCAGTGTCGATGTGATAGAAGAATTAGCTTATAGATTTCCTTGTTCGCATAAGTAATCAGTTCTTTTTTGTTAATTAGTATGTATTTTATGTTAGAAATTCAATTGTAAATTTGACGTATTTTGCTTCTAATTGCAGGTCTCATTGACTGGATTTAAGAGTCTTCCTCCATTATTTGAGAACACACCAAATGCAATCCGCGAGTTATCGCTAGCAAGTAATTTTCTTCACTAACTTTAGGTGATTTACCCAGCATTCTAGTGATATATGATATCATTTGCTTAATTAGCAAAGGACATTCCCCTCCCCTCCTGGGCGCGGGGGGGGGGGGGGTGTTCGTTAATTATCTGTAAGAATGACAGATGGGGCATGCAAGCAAGCAGGAACCCGTATGAAACAAACAAGTGAATTCTTAGTGTTGGGAAGTATCACATAGAATGGAAATATCATCTCCCTGAATTGGGGAAAGTGGAAATTTGAAACCATCCTTGATATAGTATTTGATATAGGATTAAACATCCGGTATGCTATTTGATATAGTATTAAACATCCTGTATGCTATCTGCATGTGCTATTTATTTACAGCTGAGAGAAAGTTCTCTCATTTCTTCGACTGATATTATCTGTTACTTTGATGAAATACAGGAGATATTTATGAACATGCAGTCGTTTTGAGTGTCAAGATTGAGGATCAGGATGCCTTTGAGAGGGATTTCTTTCAGCTCAAACCTTACTACACTGATGCCCGGTAAGTATTGTATTATGGTACAACATTTCAAATTAAAGAAACTTCTAACAGATGTAAACTTTTGAGATGTCTAGATTATTATCCATGTATGTTCATTATGCTTAGTAGCTAATGCTGCATTTTCTGTGTCTAATAGAAATGGTTATTTCTTCGAATTGTGTCATTTACTTCGTACAAAAATCTAAATCATCTTAGGTGATTGTTGGAGTTGGAATGTTGTCATTTGTGGATAGGATTGGTCATAACTCTTCAAGACGTATTGGAGGCATCCATCTTTATGTTGGTGTATGTGGCTGTGTTTTAGAATTCATTAGCTGTCTGAGTGTTGCTGCATCACACTAATCCTTGGTATTGATGGGTAGTATAAAGATTCTGCCTACTTGCATGCACTTCTTATTTGATGATTGATTAGCAACTGGATTTGCTTGTCTAGATTTGTTCATATGTCTTCTGTGATATTTGAATAGAGTTTAAGTAGTTTTAGTTTCAACTTTCAAGCTGAAGCTTATGAATTCTCTCTTTCCTCTCTCCCCACTGTTGTCCCCCTAAAATTCCATGGAGCAGAGGTCGTCTATCACCATCTCCTCAGGAGTACCCAATCTTAGGCCTTAACCTTTTGAGACTACTTGTGCAAAATAGAATTGCTGAATTCCATACAGAACTGGAGCTGCTTTCTCCAAGTGCACTGGAGAATCCTTGCATCAGGCATGCTATCGAATTAGAGCAATCTTTCATGGAAGGAGCTTATAATCGTGTCTTAAGTGCTAGACAGACTGTACCTCATGAAACTTATGTTTATTTCATGGATCTGCTAGCGAAGACAGTCAGGTATGGTTTTTTCTGTTTGGTTATTGGCATCTATATGGTTATTGACGGAGAGCAATTACCAGACTACTTTTGCAAACATATTTTTGGGTATTCTTTCTATTTATGCACTGCCTCAGTTCTTCAAGAGTTTCAACCTCTTCCCCCACCCACAAAAAAAAAAAAACTCGCCTAAGAAAAAGCTGCAAAGCTACTTATTGGCAAACTAATTGCCGACACATTGTTTTTTTTTTTTTTAATAGCAGTCTTTGTTTTGCAACAAACTGTAGTTATTGAACCTGTGTCCATGTGTGGACTCATGCCTATAGGTTATGTGCTCGATCTATCCAGTTTTGTGCATTTATCTTTTTGACTGTGATTTGTAGAGATGAGATAGCTGGCTGCAGCGAGAAGGCATACGACAGTCTTTCAGTTAAGGATGCACGACAAATGTTGTTGTTTTCTTCAGACAAAGAAGTTTTGGAATATATTAGAGAGGTAATCAATTATACGTCCTCTTCTCTGTTGTGTCTTTTACATGATTTTCCACTGTTTTGTCCACTGGCTGTGCGTGACAGATAATAGTCCAAGTATCTTCTCTCTCATCCATGGTCTTTTATTGTTCTTCTACCTTGAAATTTTGGGAGAGGAGAGGATTTTGCATTAGACAGTGGAGACAACAGAAAAATCAGTTGCAGCATCAGGCTTCAGATTCCTTAATAGTGCCAATTTTCTTTTATTTGAGAAAGAGTATCCTTTGGATTATCTCTCATATGTTCATTGACCTGATCTCCAACAACCTCACTCCCCGGTCTCATCTTCACTGCGATATGTAAGGACATGGCCGGCCACTTTACACAATCATAACTTAGGGTAGTTTCCTTTCTACCACTTTCTGAACTTGAGCAAAAGCTTAAGGTGGAGTTGAACTCGAAACACTCTTTTTTATGCGAATATATGTATTTATTTTGTTGCTATCCTGGTCTACGCACGTGGACATTCTGGTCTCTAGGACTTTGTTGGAAGAGCTTGTTTGTTGTTCTTTTCAGTGACAAAATTTACATGTTGAGAGTGTAGCATGATCATAATCTTGCCAACCTCCATATAACTGGAAATGTGACAAATGGTATACCATGCTTTATTTGCAGGATCACCCTGACTGGGAGATAAAGAATGGGCTTGTGATTTTCCAAAGAGCAAAAGAATCTGCACCTTGCAAGGAGATACCTTCTCTGCAGCTCATCAATCAGACACTCAGTTATGCAAGGGAGCTGGAGCGGATTGTTTGATAAATGAATGTCCCTCTCTGTCTTTGTGTTTCTAATTGATCTTTACCTTCCTTTTTCTTTTTCGGGATTTTCTCTGTATCTGGGTGCTTGAAGCTTCGGCAAAACACCTTCCATATGATTAAATACAAGAAAGATTCCAAATTCCTAGGATTCCATATGATTGAGCCTTTTGTCAATGTTTTGCCAGTAATCATGCTAGAACATGAATCGTCTTCCTCGGTTGATGGCAATTTATATCCGTACTGCTTGGCATCAGTAGATGTGGATTGGGGCTCGACTTTCGAGCTGCAATTGCTGATGGTCCAGTTACTTTTGGACTCGGTGTATTGTGTGCAGACAGGACTGGACCACAAATAGAAGCATCGTAAAATGAGCTACGGAATGAAAGGGAAACATGAATTTCGTATTCGGACGGCTGCGACACAATATTATTGTTTTGCAAAAGATTCTTGTGGAGTGACAATTCGGGCTATTAATTAAACAATAATTTTGATAAGGAACTTTCAACAGCCGTTTATGACTGGTTCTACCGTATATTCGACTGGAGCACATCTGCTAGCAGGGCTGCCGTATTGGATCCGCTATTTATCGCCTCCCCACCATTTCCATTTTCCAGCTTATGCTGTTGGCGTGCTGGTATACTTGCTACTAAGCTTGTGGAAGCGTTAATAGCATCAGTTAACGGTAGTCTTTCCAGCTTAATTTTGCCAAAAAAAAAGATAGCATCAGTTAATAGTCCTCAAATGTAGCCATATAACGGGAATATATGAAGGTCGTATTTCTTAACAGGATACCCTAATTCTACTTGCCGATCATTTATTTACGAACTGATTGATTAGTGTATGCTTAACAACCGGTGGTCCAAAATAAAATAGGATGGAGTGAGCCCACCGGTCGTCAGCTTCTATCATGGTGGCTAGTGATTTGTGCGCTTGCGGCCATCCCTCGCAAATGAATATTACATAAGATAAATTGGCCTAAACCTCTCGGGGGTGATGTAATAAGAAAGCACTAGACATTACTTTAGATATGCCTCACACAGAAATCTTGCCTAAGATATCCACATATATATATATGTCGGTGCGGGCCAATGATTTCCATAGTGATCATCAGTTCTGTTCTGAAAAGTAGCTAAAACTCACTCACTAATTGGCGGTACTAGAAGTGATAACCAACCCATTAGTTTATCAAAACAGTAGTGTTTCACCTCCAAATATCCATTCATCAAACTTTTTCTGTAGCAGATAGTGAATTGAAGCTTCTGTAGCTGTAAGATTTGAGGAAACTGAATTGCTTCTCTGTCACCTTCATACTTTATGGTTCATTGCTAAGGAGGTAACGCGCAGAAACCTTCGTACTTATGAGTTCCCTTTTTTCCTCTCTCTCTCTTGTAGTCCTAAATGACGCACGCACTCTATGGTAAGTATTGAACCCGAGGGAAGACAAAGTGCAGAATTTGGTAAAGATCACGAATTTTTTCCTAACGTCCAGTGATTGTTTGCTTTTACCAAGAGAAAAAGGGGAGTGCTTTTGCCTCCAGAAGCACGTGTGAGATCGCACGAATTGCTACTATTGACATCTATAAAGGATCAAAGCAGATTCTTGCAACCCCATGGCCTAGACTCCTGACCCATATCTCTCACAGTCACAGGTCACAGCGCCCGTCCCATTCTTACCACCTCCATTATTGGTCTTTGTTTCCTCTGTCTCTTTTCTATCTAATTCTACTAAATACTTATCAACCCATAAGTCTTGAGATTCAAATTCTCTACATCCATCGACTACATTTGTACCCTTTTGGTTTGCCACTATTGACATCCATTCTGCTTTACAATACAGTGATTCACCAGGTTTTGCTGACGGTGGAATATCAATTACAACTTTTTCTTGGCCTTCTCTAGTTCACCATATTTACTTGCAGTTAGCTAGCAATTAGCAATGTTCGTTTTTTCCTACTTTGTTTTACGCTAACATGGCTTGTCTCAAGGATAATGACTTCACTATGTCACTGCCCAACAAAGAAAGCATGAAGAGGACTTTCAATCCCAAAAAAAAGATGAACTTTCGTGTCACGAATTAAATGCCGATCACATCATTTCCAATGAAACTTTCCAGCAATAATAGATAAAGAAAAGATTTTGGTGTTAAGTGATTTCTTTGGCAGGTGTTGGAACTTGGAATTGCAGCTCTGTTCGAATTCAGCTTCAAATGGGTAGCGAGACTCCCTCCATTCCAACAAATGTTCCTCAAGAAACTTCCAATTCAGATGAGTATTTTCTCCAGCACAGCTTAGTATTTGCTGAAAGTCTCAAGGCATCTTCCTGTCCTTCACCACTTGTCTCATACTTGTTATATAGAATGCTAACTCTTGGAAATTTCATGTTTTTTTAAGTTTTATTTTTGGTCTTCGGACTTTGATGGTCTGCTGCACTATTTTACTCAAATTGTCCTTCAACTTTTAGGACTTAAAGAATCTGAGGGTACAATTATATTCAGCTGCAGAGTACTTTGAGTCGTCATACGAGAAACATGAATATAAGCAATTGTAAGTACACTGGTTTACTTAATTTCTGCTACTGCAAAGCAATGGAAGAACTTGGTAACCATTCTCTCTCTTTTTTCTTTATTTTCTTTTTCCTCTTTTAACTTTTGCATAGAGTGGTAGAGACCCTAAAAGATTATGCCAGTAAAGCACTGATTAGTACTGTGGATCACTTGGGTTCTGTAGCCTACAAAGTTGGCAGTTTCCTGGATAAAAAGGTCAATGAAATGTCTGCTACAAGGCTTCAGTTTTCTTGCCTTGAACAGGTACCAATTCCCTACACTGGACAATCTGATTATGTTACGTTGATATTAATGCTTCGAGTAAGAGCAGGACTTGAGAGCTTTCTCTACGTATGTCTGAGGATGGTTTTCCTTTGGCAAAATTGAAATTGCCATCTTTTGCTCTCATTTCAGAGATTGAGAACGTGCCGAGGATATACTGACCGCAATGGCCTTTTACAGCAGTCGCTGGTCATCAAAACACCTAGACACTACAAGCATTACACAGTTCCAGGCAATTATGTTTCCTTACTTACACGTGCTGTTTTCTGCTCCTAAATTCGTATGGACCTAAATTCGTCTGCGCATTTCTTTCAGTTGCAGATGGCAAATTCACAAGGAAATTCGACTCTAAGCAAGGGAATGTTTGCTTTTTGAACCCCCATGATGATAAGCCCTCGTCTAAGAAGCAAGGTAACGAATTATTAGTAGCCTGATAAAAATCATTGCTCATTCATTTGTACCATAAGGAAGTGCTCTGTTTCTTTTCTGATATGTCCAGCAGATGATTGTCGTCTTGAAAAATTTCAAGGAGCAGTTGCAAAGCCCCGTCCAACATTAATGAGGTACGTGTTGAAGTTGAAAGTTTGGGTGCAATTCAACAATATATTTACTTTCTTTCGCACCTTGAAAAATATGGTTAATACTACTGGGCAGAAGAGGACGCTCAGAGCCTCCTCCTAGCGAATTATCTCCAAGACCTCTGTCCTTTTCGTTTGTGAAGGTTACATCAGATAAGGAAGTAGGTGAGTGGCGGCGATCTTTACGCATTGCTAGTTTAAGCATTTTGAGTTTTGATGCAGCAATTTGCATTGAATTTATATGTATGTATGTACACTCAAACGAGATCAGGGAAACGAACGGCTTCACCGTTTCGCCTTCCACTTAAGCGCTCTGGATCCGTTGCGAATAGATCAACTTCTCCAAACTCTTCTGCTGCTCAACAACGGGTGAGCAAAAAGCATTCAACATGCTCATGATGATATATATGATTATGATGATGATTCTATGTTGGAATCACAGTGCCCTTCTGAGACTCCAAGAGCAAGTTCAATGTCTACGAATCCGGACAGAAACAAAGGCAAAGAAATCGAACTATACTCGAGAAAAAGTAAACATCCCTTCAGAGCATTGTTAAGTATTCATCGGTCAAGAAAGCAGGCAGGGGGTGCCCGTACCACTGCCATGCACATTCAGGGATGACAAATAACAGAAGAGTAAAGCAACCTGGTTGGCTGTACGGCGTTGTGAGGAGGATCACCCTTTTGGTCTTTTTCAGAGAACTCGGAAATTGCATGCTGTGTTGTGATTGTTCATCTGGGCATCTTCTCTATCATATGCCGCTGCCCTGAATGATACAAGTACGTACGTAGGACGTTTCGGGTCTCATGCAAGTGTATTATTTAAGATGCAAATTACTACTACTGCTACTTGTTATCTTTTACTAAAACTTAGAAATTTGATGGCTGGACATTTTTTTCATGGTGCCCGTCGCACCTTTCTGCTTTAAACGCCACGTAGAATAATCTATCTTTGGGCCAAGGAGAAAACCTAAACTTCACACAGAAAGGAAAAAGGAAGTGCTCGGGAGTTAAACCACTGACGTTGTTGCGAGACTAATATCCTACCCGAGTTGGGTTTTGAGATATCTGACGGAGTAATATTTTTGTCAACCGAGTTGGGTCGTGGAAATAATCGAGAAGATTGTTTCCCGATGACAAGCTGAGAACGACGCACATTAATTCGCGTATACAAAGGTACAACGCTGTTTAGTTTAATAGAGAACTTTGGTGGTCGAGTGTTTGTGTGACTTCCATTTAACAGAAATGATGATGGCAGCTAAAAAGGGAGAAAACTTTTACTCCCAAATCAGCATCCAACGGAAGCTTCAGGCTGTGTGATCTTTACTCCACCGAACGGATTGTCTTGTGAAGTTCATATGGACACCTTCAGCTATGACAACGAGCTGAGCACTATGCTTCATTCGACGCTCAACAACATGAATGTATTCAGAAGATGTAGTGGAACTGTAGAAAGGCATGACCTTGATCCCCAATCAAAATCCGAGTTCAAAACTGGGGAATTCATCTGTTCTCTTTGAGCTTATATCCTGCTCAGAAATATTTTGATCATCTGCGACCTCACGAGGGGTGGAATTACTTGAAGTTGCCAAATCAATAAAATGGACTCCATTCTGCCATCTAGTATCAATTTCCTTGCTATCTACGCAAGGCTAAACCAAAAAAAGAAACACTTCAAACCAAATGAATCTAAGAAAGACCCATCACAACAACATTAATATAAATGGACCATCACTTGGCAGCAAAGCTTCAGCAATTCATATTGCTAACCCGCAGAATAGGGATTAAGAAGTCTTCAATTTTGTCCAATTAAATACTTCAAGCAAAGTGATTCAATATTACTGGTTTTCTTCTCTACAAGAAACAATATACGTAAGCTGTGTAAATGCAAGGATCAACTAACAAGGGAAACGTAAGAGCAATGGACCTGGGGAAGCTTTTCGTGCTTCGGTTCGGCAATGACTTGACTGGTGTCAGACCCAGATGCTGCTGCAGCTGTACCTCCAGTGGAGTTCTCTGCGCAGTTGAAATAATTTTGATTGTACAGAATGACCAAGGTAAGCCGGTGATTGCATCTGATAGATAGAAAACTTGCCTTTGCAGAAAACCTGTTGAGTGCAATTCCTGCTTTTCAGATCTCCCATTGATGTGTCTTGCAAGACTGATGTAATTGGTGTCTTTAACTCCAGCTTTACAGTAGCCAAATCTTCGGGCTCCAGAACTGGAGTGTCCAGATATCTCCTACTACTCTCAGTATGATCAGTATCAACCATGTGGTTGACGAGGTTTGTAGTTTCAGATCTGGAATTGCAGACACAATATTAGTTGCTTGCATGGTTTCCAGTTAAAAGTTATTACTCATAAGCTCTTTGTGCATTTCCACACAAAGTCATTCCCATAAATATAAAGAGGAGATGCCTATTCATTTAGTGAAGACATAAACCAATCATCCAATCAAAAAACCAACCTTAATGAATGTTAAAAGTAGTTTCTAGGAATGTGATACCTATGACCATGTTCAGTTTTGTACCATCTATATATTGCATAAACTCTATTTTGTGCAAGCTCTTGTTGTATACGCACCCTAAAAAGAAGCTAGGGCTATTTTCAGATCCTTTTTCAGCTGATTTTGAAATTTCAACCAAATGAATTTCATTAGTAGCTTCATCTTTTGAAATCTCACTGTCATCTTTCTGCATTGGTGAATTTTCTTCATCCAGGTGAATAGTTGTGCTTCCTTCATTACAGACATCTTGCAGTTGTTCCTTTCTCTGACAACTACTATCAGACTGAAAGAAACTGGTTGACTCTGAAGCATGGAAACCCTCTATGGACAAACTCTTCATCGTTGCAACATCCTTTTCACTCTTGGCTTTTCTGAGAATTGATAAGATCTCATGTGCTGCCACAACAGAAATCAGCATTGCTTGCAGAGAAATGTGTTGCAAGGAAGCAATGGAGCAAAATGGACAAAATAATCTGTACCACAAAAACGAAAAAAACATTTTCACCTAATTAACAACTCACCAGCACGTATTGGATTTTTGCTGACTTCCTCAGCAAATATGTTACTCTCATCAATGGAGCCTTTAAAATTTGAAGTCATTTGCTTCCTGGCAAGAGCTTCATTTTCTCCTGGAATTCCAGTAAAAAGTAGGACAGAAATATGAATACTCAGTTGAAGCATCAATAAAAGGAATTATAAATTTTGAAGAAAGTAGAAAACCTAGTTGCATAAATGTTTTCGCAAGACAGCATTATCAATGACAGACGCTGCTTAGCAACTGAAAGGGAAGAAAAGCCCTGGCCAGAATCTTGACCTCACTCAATTAGGCAGATGTCATACCAGTAGGAAGTTGGTTGAGGGAATGTAATGGGCCACATGCTGCTTTCTTTTGACCATCCATATTGCAATTGGTTTTTCTAATATTGGAGTCGATAGGAGGTTTATGATCTTCTTCACATTCTCCAATGTCCACTAAGTGTCCATCAAATGCTATTGATTCACCAGATCTGATTATCTCATCCTTTTTCAGAAACCTGCTTTCCAAGAGTCTCCTGGTTTCATCATACAACAATACCTGACAAAAAATCAGGGCAGTGACCAGTAACCAGCTTCAAGCTGTAGAAAGTACTAGGGGTTGAGGTTGGACGTACTTAAACAAAACCAAATTTTTGTGAAAGTTAGAACATCAAAACAAGTTCTTCACAACTCTGTACACTTTCATTTTCAGAATCTAGGCACATTTTTCTCCGGTGGAAAACAAAGAAATGACAATTTTTATTGTTTTGGATGCTAAAATAATCCTTTCAAGCATAGCAACAACTGTAAAAATATTGTCAATCACCTTCTTAGTGTAAAAACAAAAGCCAAAGATGGAGACCTAACAAACCATTTTTATAGCCTCATGTCCTTTCTATAGATATTTACTCTTACCACATGGCTAACAATTTTTGTTGACACAAAAAAAAAGAAGTGCCAAATAACCACCAACACATTAACATGTAAAGTTATGCACAGTGGTAAATAAGAGAAAATCATAAAATAAATAGCAATTGGCTAGCGTCATGCTGAAAGAAATTTGGAAACTAACCTGTTTACATGATGATCCACATGTGAGAAGCTGTAAAAACCCATCATGATACTTCTTAGCCTTTTGAGTTACTTGGGTAGTGTATAAGACCTGCCATTCTGAATTAGAACTTTTACATTTATTGAATGGAATAGCAGAACAAAATGCATGAAATACTAAGACTGTAGGAAACTGGGAAAAAGGGGTGAAAAAACCAAAATAATTTTCTAAAAAGCTTGTGGTGAGAAAATTGTGCCACTGATAATGGCACCTATTTACCGTTGTTTCAGGATTCATTTCTCTACAAGTAAATCGATAAAGCTAACCTATGCTGTTTCAGGGCAACCTAATGAAGAGCCATACTTGGTCATTTCACTCTTCTTGAACTCTGAAATGTCAAAAATGAGCAGCATCAGTTAGTTCACAGTCTATAGTGGCTTTGAACAGGGTTATTTACACTTTTAGGACAGAGCCAAGCCTTTTGGATGCGTTGGCATACCTCGTATCACCTTCTGTGATGGACTCAGATTGATTAATCTTGCTCTTTTTGGCCCCAAAGGTTTCCTTTCTTTGATGTTCAAAATCATGTATCAAAAGCTCACTTTGACTATCAGACAGAAGACATAAAAACCAACACAAGAGAAAGAAAAGGATAATAAGAAGATCATACAAACAGGGGGTTTTTTTTAATACCAAATTTAGGGCTCTGAAATGATTCACATGTCCTGTTAATCTTTGAGGCTGTTGGTAAAATATTAGACTTCGATACAGGATCGTGGTCTTGTTGCCGATCTCCAATATTGACAAGATAAAAATCAAATGCCAACACTTCACCGGATGCAATGGTGTCATCCTTCTTTACAAATCTGCTGTCCAAGACATTCTCGCAGTCATCATACAGAATGACCTGTTAACACATTTAACAATAAAAAATGAGAGCCTTAAATAGCAAAAATTCCGCACATGACAATCAAATTTCTATTATTTATTTGCTATGTATATGATGTGATGGCAAAAGAGTAACTAATAGAATTAACAGTTGTATGGACGAGCTGAAAGACCAACCAAGCATCTTCATATGAGTCGAGCTTGGTTGGATAAGAGTTCATTCTAGCTCCATAGTCTCAAGTCCAGCTCGACTCAATAAGCACAAAACTTCAAATTTCATCACGGATAAGTCGAGCTACTAAATTTCTGCACAGTAAATCTCATTTAAGCTTAGCCCAGAATATGGTCAAGCCAAATGTGAACAGACTTGTAAAGCTTCTTCAGAAAATCAAACTCAACTCGAATGCTATAGTTTTCAACTGAATCTGCATCGCTTACCCTCCTAACTGCGATTGTTTCAGATGGTAATATATTCTATGATTCACTACAATATCATGTTCTAAGCCTACTTCATCCTCAACTAAATCAGCAATAAAATTACCAATTTAAACTGCGAAAGACAGTTCAATCAACGGCCTAAATCATGTTAATGGATCTAGATCATCTAACCATCGATTCAACGCCACGATATTAAGCAAAGCAAGCACCGCAAAACAATTGAGCTAACTTCTAAACTTGATTAGAGAGCTTTTTTTTCAATAAAATTTAGATACTAAAATCAAATGGCATACTGAAGATGGACTATCTTTTTCTCTCGTTTTGTTTTATGCAAATTATTAATAGTCAATCACACATAAATTCATCCTTTGTTTCTTTTTTTTTTTTTTGGAACACAACCAAAAAAAAAAATTCATTGAATGAGGGTGAATACCTTATTTTTTGAAGAGTGAAAGCGTAGAAAGCCGTCTTGGTAGACTTTGCGCTTCTGCTTGACGTGCTTCGTGTACGTCACGCTCCATGTCTTCTTCAAATCCGCCATTGCTGTATCATTTCATTGGACAGAGTTCAAAACAAAACCCCAAAAATTTAAAAATTTTTTTTTTTTTTTGCAATGTATAATTTCAAAAAATCGAAAAAGAAACTTGCTCTCGGAGCTGAAATTTGGAACTTTAAGAAAGATCTGACAATCGCGAAAATAGACTGAAGAATAATAATTGGCGGGAAAAGAATGAAGAGTTTCGGGGGGTTTTTATTCGGCGGTAAATTAAAGGAAGATAACTTTTTTTTTTTCTAAATAAAAAAAAGAAGGGAGAGATAACTTCTTTTTTTTTTTTTTTCTAGAAGGGAGAGATTAGATTCCAGAAGCTGGAGGCCCAAATCAAAGCCCAAACGTTGAAAGCAGCCTAAATATACTTTCTTCTTTTTTTTTGTAAAATTTCCACCACCACCTAAATCCAGCCAATCTCATGTTTTGATCCGCTCTGCATTAATTGCATTGCTCTGGCTAGTGTCAGACCCATGCCAGATTCCTGACCGCAACATATGATATGATCCTCCACTCCCACTCCTAGTCCTAGTGCTAGTGGGGATACGAAATGTTCCCAATGTTAAATTACAAAAGCTCCCCTTACGGTTTACTTATTAAAGTTGCAATTTACTCCTAATATTTACTTATTTCTTTTCACTGTACTCTTTATTTCAGCCAAACTCGTCAGGTTAACTGCTCAGAAAAAAAAAAAAAAAAAAACTGTTGAATTTATGAAAATGCCCTTCTACATGATTTATAAGTACGGATTTTCAACATTCTTGGGATGTTTAAATTATAAAATATGATTCTTATTGTAAAATAATTTTTTGAACTTTTGGACAAAACTAAATTGGTATACTAATATTCTTTTTTTTTTAAATCCAAAAGTGTAATTACTTTAAATTGGTAGAGCCTAAACTTTGCTGGAAAGAAGGGAATTATGTGATGTACGGTAATTAAAAAAGAGAAATATGTATATTATTATAAACTTTACCTCTTTTTTACAATCTTTATTGCGATATAACACACATTTTTCTTTATTTTTTCTCAAAGTTCAGGAGTACATGATGATGATTCTGAAATTAGCCCTTGTTCCCAAGACTATAGACTTAGTGATACGGATATTAAACAGGTGATTTTGAAGTTCGTAATTCGACTCCTTAATTTTCAATTTTCTTCTTACTTTTTTGTAAAGTTTAAGGTCTCTCTTGGAAAAAGATAAAAAGAAAAAAAAAAAGAGAGAGGCATAAATTGCAAGAAAATGATGTGTTGATATAGATTTCTATCTTCCTTGTATATAAGAAAAATGTCAATTTAATAGCAACCCATCTTTTTGACACATGTAGGGTCTGTTTGGTTGGAAGTAAAATGTTTTCCCGTGGAAGTAATTTTCCATGAAAATCATTTCCTTTTCATCATTTTCAGGTGTTTGGTTAGCTTATTGAAAATATTTTCTTACTTCATTTTTCTGGTGTTTGTTTAACTTTTGAAATATTTTCACTTTTATCTCTATCTTTACTTTCTACACATTATAACTACATACTTCTTCCCATGCAAAATAAGAAAATTTATCTCATTGTTTAACTTTAAAAAATCTTGGAGAAAGGTATATATGAATAAAAAATATCTCCTTAAGCAAATAAATAAATTGCTGGCCATTTAGTGTCAAATATCAATCACATGCAATGTTTATTGTGACATATATCTTGCACTCTCACTGCTGAAAGTTTCTCTAAAAAAGAATGTCCCTATTATACATAATTAATTACTAGCATAGGATGAGCAGGATGAGATTTTTTTTTATTTTGAATATACTAGGGGGAGGGTTGGGTGGTACGGGGGAGGGAGTGTAAGAAAGAGGTCTTGGGTTCGAGTCTTCCTGTTTACACTAAAAAAAAAAAAAGAACATACTGCAAGATGATTTCAGTAAGTTTGGAACATACTACAGGCAATATGCATGCATTTCGGAAAACAACTTCAAGAAGTTGGGAAGGGAAGTTGTTTTCCATAAGATGAGTGAAAATATTTTACATAGGAAAATGTTTTCAGTAATTTTTGTGCAACCAAACACGGGAAATTAGGAAAATATTTTCCTGGAAAACATTTTCACCCGAAACAAACGGACCCGTATTGTCTATATTTTTTACAAGTGACAGTTTTAGTTTTTAGTTGAGTTTTTGTTCCACTATTTTATTTGATCAGTAAAAATCATAAACATCACTCCTCCTAATTTTTCTCTTCTTCTTTTTCCTACCTCTAGTTGCAACCCTCATCTTTTTTTTTTTCATCTTTCCTTTTTCCCCTTCAAATTTTTCTTTATAATTAATTATACTAGGATTATTTTTTACTAATTTTTAGGTGATTATTGTTAACTGATCAACTGATTTATACTTTCATTTTTTTCCTCAATCAATTTTAACTCTTTAATCCAGTATTTTGCCTTTCCCCTTCTTTTTTCCCTTCATCCTAATTTTTCTCTGCATTTCCTCATTCCACTCAATCGATGCATCTTTTCCTTTTTCCTCTAGAGTTAAACTAAATGTATTTTTTTCTTATACGAGAATGGATGATTCTTTTCTTCTTTTGTTCCAAAATCACGATTCATAATCATCTCTATATATTTTTTAAGAGAAATATAGGCAATAGATCTTTTACTACTGCTACTCTTCTCTCTGGTATGTTTCATATTTTTTATTCCTATTTTTTTCCCATTTCATGCTGCCAATATATGGATTTAAGTTTTTTTTTCTGTTAACTATATTTTATTTTGCCTTTATAATTTTTTTTGCCTCTTTATTATGTTACCATGGTGTATTTTTTTAAAGTTTAGTTTGATCTCATTGATATTCATTAACCTTTGATTATTTTGGTTCTGCAAGTTGATTTTCTTTTCGTGAGGTTTTTAAAAAAAAAAAAAAATCTAAACGCAAAATTTGTATTTTGCAATTATAATGTTATAGTTCCTCTTTAATGTATAATTGAATCTTGCACTTTTTTAGTAATTCTTTGATACTGAATTTTTGTACCCTTTTCATGCATTGAAAAGCCTTCCGTTTTAATATCTTGCAAGTTTTGTTGTAAATTTGTAAGATGAAAGTTTTTACATGATGATGTCTTGTTTGGGAAAGAAATAGTGGTTAAATTTTATGTATTTATAATTATAATAGCATGATATTTGAGCTTTATGAAGCATGTATCATTTGTGTGTAACATTGAATTAGTTTTGCATTTCTCAGTTCTCGTGTATTTGATTTTTGAATCCTTTGTTGTTGTTTTTCTATACAATACAGAAAGACATTGTCTATACAATACAGTAAGATAAATCTCTACGACATCACAATAAGTGAGTTGGAATAAACTTTTGGAAAATTTCACTGAAAACAAACTTTATTTTTTGGACTCGTTTTTTGGTAATCATAATTATTTTTTATTTGAAAGCAAATTATGATGTGATGAATTTTAGTTAGAATTTTATATTTGTGTCTGGGCTACATTTGCACACGGCCTGGTTACTTGTAGTATGTGTATATGAAATTGAGGTCAACCATTGCAAGAAAATCAATCCTTTTTTTTCTATTTTTTTTAAGGCTCACCGTTAATTACTCTTCTTCATGTTTTTTTTTTTTTTGTTTTTTTTACTAACCAGATGATGCTGGAATATGCACCCAATTACAGAATGAATAATCTAATATCTAATAACATGTGACGGGTTGGCAGCTGGATGCCAATCCAAGATTATATTATTGCTTCTTCATTGCCGGTATATATATATATATATATATACCGGCAACAAAACATTTTAGTGACAGCAGAAGTACTATTTATTTAGTAGTATTTTTTACCAAGCAAATGCCGGAAAGGAAACACTGATGATGTCAGCAGTAGTAGTTAGTAGTGGCATAAAGTAAACCCAAGGACGAAACCAAGGAACGGTCAGATCTCCACCAACGTCGAGCGGTAGTCAATTACAAATTGAGTTGGACCACAAAGCTCCAGCGCCCCCCGTTTGTATTTGTGTCCAGAAATGAATTGGGGCTTCGCCTTCTTCAAGCCGATATTTTTGCACGCTTAAATCCTGCTCCCCCCTTTTTTTTTTAGGTATGTAAAAGTCCGTAAGTTTTGTGTTTCTTCTGCCTGCCGATTAATAATTATTGATGATAAAGTAGCGGCATGCTATCCGATCCGGATGCCAACTCTTTGCAGCTATCATTTGGCCTTTTTCGGACGACGAAAATAATTACTCCACTAGTACTCTTTGTTTTTCTTTCTTTTTAGAAAGAAAAAGAAAAGAAGCTTTTTTTGTTATTTTTTATTTTTTTGGACAGAGCACTAGAAAATTCAGATAGTTTAATAGAAAAAGTTTTTATTGGGCATTGCAGATAGTTAAACTACATGACAGCGCAGATCCAACTAATGAAGGCTTAATTGGCTGCCTGAGACAATTATCTGCTATTGCAAAAAAAAAAAAAGCATTAGCGCTGGCCACTAAAGGACAGCTAAAAGCAGATTTTGATATAAAACTAAGTGGAGTAATAAATATATATATTTAAGAGAGACGCAGACAAGAAGAGGTTCATGAATCATCCAGATAACTACACATTTTTTTTCCCGCCCACTTCATCCCATGCAGTAAAATCAGTCAGATTTTTAACAGTAAAGAACAAAAGGAAGGTGCCCATCGCAAATGGTGCCCGTGACGCAAAATCTAACCTGCCAGAAGAACAGGAAGGATTCTTCTCAGAATTCAGAAACCGCCCTTGTATTTTTTATCTCTCTATTACCCTTTATACTGTGGAGCGTCTCCATCAGACCAACATATTTTTACAATAGTGAAAGTCCATGAGATGGCAGTAGCAGCAGTATAATTTTAAAGGTCAGGATAGAACTCCCAAAGAATAATGAGAATCCGAACTCAAATTGGAAAGAGGCAAATTCTTTTATCAAAAAAAGTCAAACCAAGAATAAAGTAAAGCATTTCAACATGATGGTCGAATTTTTCTGCGCAAAACAGTTTTTACTTCTTCCGAAATTGAACAATCCGCCTCCTAACCAGTAACCAACCACTGTGCTTCCACTTCCATAATACTCCAAGCAAGAAAACCAACCCATTCATTGATAACAAAAAAACAAAAAAAAAGAGGACGATGACGGTTCGAATGTGGCTAAACACGGAATCCTCAGTGCCACTTCTATTTTT